AAACTTCTATTTACGTTTTACTGTTGCTCTGAACTAGTTTACTTCACAAACTGGCATAACAAGTGCTGATGCTTGTCTGTAGGGCACGGCTGATGCTGTCAGACAATATCTGTGGTTGTTTGAGGAGCATACTGTTCTTGAATACCTTATACTTGCTGGAGATCATCTGTATCGAATGGATTATGAAAAGTTTATTCAAGCCCACAGAGAAACAGATGCTGATATTACCGTTGCCGCACTGCCAATGGACGAGAAGCGTGCCACTGCATTCGGTCTCATGAAGATTGACGAAGAAGGACGCATTATTGAATTTGCAGAGAAACCGCAAGGAGAGCAATTGCAAGCAATGAAAGTAAGACTATCATAGTCCTAATGCTTTTCAATTCAGAACTACTCAAGAAAGAATTTATTAGCATGTGTTAATTCTTGTTTTGATGTATTTCAGGTGGATACTACCATTTTAGGTCTTGATGACAAGAGAGCTAAAGAAATGCCTTTCATTGCCAGTATGGGTATATATGTCATTAGCAAAGACGTGATGTTAAACCTACTTCGTGACAAGTTCCCTGGGGCCAATGATTTTGGTAGTGAAGTTATTCCTGGTGCAACTTCACTTGGGATGAGAGTATGTACTTCCTCTAGAACTTACACTTTGTGTTACTTTTACTTATCAAGAAAATTGGAATATGAAATATACACTTTTTGCTGTGTTCAATGCATAAAACATTGCATCTTTTGTCCTTTACTCTAGAGAAAATGGGCCTTTTTGTCTCAACTTCTTGAACTCTCTTCCAAATATGGTAATGGTTATGAAAATGAGCTCTCTTTGCTCTTCTGCTTTCGTGTGTTGCCCCTCTCAAGTTTTTCTCTATTTTTGTTCTTTTCTCTTTGTTGAATCTCTTGTTCTGGTCATCATAAATGTGGAAACTCAAAAAAGAATGATGCATCGTGCTCAATTTCTTTTTAAGATAGTGGTCACTTGGTTAGTGTTGTTTCTAGAAATCTTATGTAATTGTGTTCTCAGGTGCAAGCTTATTTATATGATGGGTACTGGGAAGATATTGGTACCATTGAAGCTTTCTACAATGCCAATTTGGGCATTACAAAAAAGCCGGTGCCAGATTTTAGGTAATTCTGCTGATCTCAAGGAGATCGTTCTCTGTAGTTATCATGCTTTGTTATCCACTCACTTTGATTAAGCACTAATATGGCTGTCTTCAATATTTACTGAAGCTTTTACGACCGATCAGCCCCAATCTACACCCAACCTCGATATCTACCACCATCAAAAATGCTTGATGCTGATGTCACAGATAGTGTCATTGGTGAAGGTTGTGTGATCAAGGTAACTACTTATTGTTTCAAGGCCCCAATATTTCTAAGTTGCAGTAGCAAACATGTGAGGCATATCTTTGACATGTTCAATATTTTCCGTGACCTCATTCATAATCCACGTTCTTTTCAATTGAAGTCCACTTGCATAGAATACAAAATAAAGTTTAGACTACTGCTTTTTCAAAAACAAAAAAGAAGATAAAGTTAAGTATACTGAACTCTCTTCTCTCTGAGGCGTGCTTGCATTTTCTTCTCAGTTTAATTTTCCATCATGGTTGGAGAGGGAAAAATATTGTTTATGTTATGGATCTTGACTTATTTTTTTTCTTTTACCTGAAAAGATAAAGTTAAATATACTGAACTCTCTTCTCTCTGAGGCATGCATGTATTTTCTTCTCAGTTTAATTTTCTGTCATGGTTGGAGAGGGAAAAATATTGTTGATGTTATCGATCTTGACTTATTTTTTTTCTTTTACCTGAAAATTTGAGATTTTGATACTGAGATTGCACTCCCTCTATTTTAATTTAATTGTCTTAGTTTCATGCAGTATGAAGAATATGAGTGAAAGTAAATAATTATATATTATAAAGAAAATTGGTCCGAAATATAACATCTAAAGTTAGCTCTTTGATAAAGTTGAGGCACACAAAATTTAAAACTCACTTACGAATATCGGAGAATTGAAGTGGAGCCTTGGAGCAACGTTAAAGTTGTCTCTGTGTACCTAGAGGGTAACAGGTTTGAGATGTGGAATCAACCTCTAATGCTTTGGGTAGGTTGTCTACATTATACCCCTGGGTTTGGACCTTTTCTGGACCCTAAGTGAATGCGAGATGCTTTTCACCAATTTTTTCCTTTTCATTTTTCATCATACTGTGCTCCAGAAAATGCAGAAAAATAGTATACTATTACATACTCCCTCCGTCCCTATTTACTTGTCCATATTTCCTTTTTTGGTTGTCCCTATTTAGTTGTCCATTTTGACAAATCAAGAAAGGACAACAAATTTTTTCCTATTATACCCTTATTTACACTTCTTGAAAATTGTAAAAGTGTATGTTGTTTCCCTCCAATTTATTTCACTTGAATTCAAATAAGTGGTTGTAATTTTGAAGTGAAAAGTTGTCATAAGGGTAAAATTGTAACTTCACTGTGCTAATCATTGTTGCCTTAATCTGTGTGCCATTTCTAAAGTGGACAACTAAAAAGGGACGGAGGGAGTATATATCTAAGACAAATCCTACAGTGTCACGTAGTTCTAGGGCTTAGGAATTGCTACTAAAGGTCCACTAACGCTAAATGAAAACCTTCATTCCAAAATTCCACTCAGTGCTAAGTATACTCCCAATGAAAACATGCATAAATATGGAAATAGTAATAATCTAA